CTTTCGCTCTCGGTTCCAGGCGGAGGCTGCGGCCCTGGGCGGCTCCGCAGCCTCGCCGCCTGCCCGGGGCGGCCCCTTCCAGGGGGTTCAGGCAGTGTGCTGCGCTCCAGCGAGGGAAAAGGAGTCTGTGGGCGAATAATTTCCCGCTCGATACCGACGGGTGTTTTCCTTGCTTGACTGCTACGGTTTTGCTTCATGATAGCCCAGCCTGTCGGTCCGCAGCTCTGTGTCATCGGTGTGTGCCCTGGTCCCGGCAGGGTGGGGAACAGGAATGCCAGGTGGCCCTGAGCCTTCAGGACCTCCTGCGTTACTTCTTAGCTCTGTGCTGAGTGCTCTGTTTCAATGCTTACCTTGCAACAGTGCTTAGCTTCCACTCTGCTGCTGGAAAAATAGAACAAGACGGTGCAAGATTATTTTTTCTAGTATAATTTAAAATGTGTACATTGACCCGAGTCTGACTGTTCTGGGCATTTTACACTTCTTCTTTTCCAAGATGTAGTTTCCTTTGGTGACCTGTATTATTTTTTTCTTTTTATTATTTTCACCTCTTGAAGTGGCTACTGAATCTGGTGCATTTGAAACCTGTACTGTTCATTTTGGAGAGTGATTTACAGATATTAACAGCAACTCTGGTAGAAGAAATTTCAGGGTGTGTGTTTTGCCTTCTAATTCCAGAGGTCCCCAATCCAAAGGACTTGGTTAGCTAGCTTTCAGGTTGTTTAAGCTTTCCCACTTGCAGTCCAAACCCCTGGCTGCAAACCTGCTGCTGTTTGTTTTGTTAATTTAAATTTAATAAATTAATTTATGATGTTTTGACACGCAGTTGCTTTCAGCTGCTGTTTCCTTTGATCCCACCCTCATGGAATTTGAATACTATATATTTATTTTGTATTTTCAGGTTTTAAAAGCAGACTTCTTTCCTTGGAGGGGAGAGCAGCAGATGTACAAGCTGGACATAGGCTGGCCTAAAACTCCAGAACACTTCACTGGCCAAACATTTTGTGTTGCTGTTGACTCTCTCCATGGTTTGGTCTATGTAGGACAAGTGAGTGGGAATACTGTATTTCTCCCTGTGGCTTTTTTGTGGGTTTTTTGCCTTTAAAGGATCTAGTTAAGATTAGGATATTTATGTGTTTATAAATACATATTTATTTACACACTTTTATATATATGGATAATTCTTGTATTAAACACCAAGAAAATATGAGCAGAGATGTCTCTGCTATATCTATTTTTGAAAACAGCTCTGGCACAACATTTGTTTGTGGTTTTTTTTTTTTTTTTAAAGTGTTACATTTCTCTGGTATTCAACTTAACTGAGTTGCAGCAGCTTGTTCCCTTACCTCTAACATAAAATGTGATTGTGGGGCAACTCAGTCTTCCATTCTTTGAGGCCTTGTCCCATGAAATCAAAACCACACAGCTCTTTCAACCAGTTAGAATAATCGGTGTTAAATTATTTCCTGTACCCAGGTCCATGTCTTAGTATCTCTAGGCCATGGATAAGACGTTCTCTCCATGGGATGTGGTAGGAATTTCTCATAAAGCACGGTGTGAGTACTTGAATGCCATGCAGCAAATAAGCACTGTTGCAGTTTTTCATTCCCATTACGTTGGGCATGCTTTTCAGCAGGAACACAAGATCACAATTCAAGCTGAAGACCAGGGTAGCTGCAGGCATTTGGCTGCTCTGAAAGCTGGACTCTGTGTGATGTAAGGTGAAAGTCTAGACTGACTGGAAGGTTTTCATGCTAAATTTAGACCCTTATCTTGTTTTCCTTTTCTAGCTGGAAAAAGAGTTCTAGCAGACAATTATGTCAGGAGATTCTTTCAATTCATGAAGCATAGCAAAAACATCACAAAGAGGAATTTTATATTATAAGTTTTATTTTTATTTTTTTATTTTTACTCAATATGTTTTCTTTAGAACTTCTTTTGCCTTTTCAGAGGGGAGACAATGTGCCAAAGGTACTTGTATTCTCAGAAGAAGGCTATTTTCTTCACTCCTGGAATGATACAGTTGAAATGCCTCATGGTATCTTTGTATGGAACACTGCAACAGAAAGTTCAGTGTGGATCACAGATGTTGGGACAGGTATGCATGGTGGTGATATGAGAAATATTCAGTGGAGATGAACATGTAATATTGCTTTAAACAACTTGCTTATTTAAGTCTCTCAAGTAATTCTGAGATAGATTTGTGCTTTTCTTGCCATGAACAGACTTCTCAGGTGCTGCACAAAATAATCTGAAGTTTCATGAGTTGTGCTGTGTTTCTGCTTACAGCTGCTGAGATCAATCAGCACTCCTCCCTGCTGCCCAGAAGTATAAGGGAAAAAAGACTGATAGACTTAGGTTTAGCCTGGCTAGACCTAGTTTTAGTGATCTTAATACAATGGATGAATAGTGTTATAGCATGTGGATTTACTAACCCACTGTCATAATCTCATTATAGAATTTTGTCTATTAAATATATTAATATCACCTTTGAGTATTGGATTTTAAATCTTTGCAGTTAGTTTTAATACTTGAATTTTGTTTTGTTAAGATGTTTTTGCACTTTCTTTTTTCCTTGATTCAGGGAAATATGGACACACAGTGAAACAGTATAGCCCTTTGGGTAAACTTAAGCAGGTTTTGGGCACACCAGGTAATGCTGGTTCAAGTTTGATTCCCCTGCAGTTTGATCAACCAGCAGAGATCTTTGTGGAGGAAACTGGAGAAATCTATGTTGTTGATGGAGATGGAGGAATGAACAACAGATTGCTCAAACTGTCAGATGGTATGGAAAAAGGAACTGTTGCTGTAGTTGACCATTGAAAACTGGATTTTAAATAACATGACTCGGGAATACTTTTAAGCAAGTACTAGGCAGAATTGTCATTTAACTTTAGTTTGAAGACCTTATTAAATCAGATCCTGTTTTACTGCTTGTCACTTCAGGAGAAATCTCCTAGTCATTCATGAGAAGAGGCTGAGAGAGTGACTTTGTTTAGTGTACATGAAAAAAAGCTAAGGTCTTTTTGCTGTCTTCAAGTCACTGAAAGGAGGCTAGAGAGAAGACAGAGACACATGTTTCTTGAAGATATGCAGTGAAAAATGAGGAACACAGAGCAAAAGGTTCAAGAGGGTTGAATTTCCAATTTGATTTTTGTTAGAAAACATTCAGAGTAAGGGTTGTCAGTGAATGACAGGGTGGCCCAAAGATGGTTTGCACTTTCCATTCCTGTAGATGCTCAAAAGCTGATGAGTTATGGCCAACTTGATCTAACTTCAGAGTTGGATTTTTTTATCAAAGTCCTGCTTTGAGAAGCAGGTTGGACCAGGCAGTGTCTGGAGAACTTTTACACTTACATTGTTCTGTGATTCTAATTAGCTCGCTCATACTCCTCAGTTAGGGCAGTGACTAAAGAGTCTACACATGCTCACAGTTGGAATAGTGGAGGAGCTACTGTGTCTCCATTGTGCTATCATAAAACAGATAGTTTCCTAAAACCTAGTTTACATAATGGTAAATTGTTAAAAGTAAAATCTTCCAGGTAACGTGTGTTAAAAATCAATTTAGGAAACAAATGAATAGCATAATCAGACAACTTCTTTTTTTTTTCCTTTTTTTTTAAATTTAGTGCTTAACAGAACCTTGAAGTATGGCTCTTATGTATTACTGGCTACTTTTCTGTAGCCATAATCCTGAAACCACTAATAATAATACTGTAGTAGTCATATTTTCTCTCAGATTTATGTATTGGTGGTACTGTGTTTAAACAGTTTAGAAATCTCAGCTTTTACAAATTACCCAAAGTAACTTTGCAAGAGAATGACTTAAAAGTTATTTGTTGTTTTCTCACTGTGATTTTTTTACTTTTTTTCATGGCGTTTAGACTACAAAGAGATATGGCTGACTGGAACAAATGGGAGCGGCATTGGTCAGTTCAAGATTCCTCACAGTGTAACAGTGGATGCTTTTGGACGGGTAAAGAATTAAGGAAATTTTCTTATTTCATCTTTCAACAGACTTGAACAAAACAAAATGCATTTCTTTTTTGTTTAAACTGTTGTGATCTGTGTCACTTTATGGGTTTAGAGTTTTCAGTGTGATAGTCCCGAGCTGAAGTTTCATACTGCAGGTTCTATGGAAGCAGCTAAGCCCAAGGTTTACACCAGGAACCTGACAACTTACACTGTCAATGTCCATGCAACAACAGTGTTGCAGGAGTGTTCCTCCTGCAGTTTGTAACAGGTTGCCACAGGTGAGACTACAGAAATGTGTTCTGTAATAAATAAAAGCACTTCTGTTTCTTCATGTAGAAGCAGCAGCCTGCTTGGGCCATCCTGACCTTGATTAACAGCTCTTCTTTTCCCATGGGGAAGTGCATACCAAAGGATTGAGTCCAGCCATAAACACCTGTGCTTTGGTGTGCAACCCACCAACCACTGGGCTGAGAATGTGTGTGGGATGAATGATAAGAGCTAGAAACATCGGCTTTACTCTCCTTGGATTTTTTGTGGTTACTTTCTCTCGCCTGCTGGCTGGCTGTGTAGTTGATCCTAAAACTTGGGCACAAAAGAAACATATAAATACTCCAGAGTGTTTATTAAAGACGATCCTGCTAGATGACAAAGTGGTGGTCTGTTATCCTCAGTCACTACACTTCAGGGGGCTTTAATTTCATATTTGCAAATTCCAAATAAGCTTTAGGTAGTAGTGAAGCTCTAGCTATGTTGTGGACATTACTCTCTTTTACATGCAGCTCAAGGCATTCCAAGAGATTGCTTCTGCCAGGTGTTAATTGTAGTCTGGCTTTTGGTCTGCCAGTCCTAGAGAGGAATTATGCAGTCACTTCTTAACCTGTTTCAGGGGAAACAAGATTGCTTCACTAAAACACCACTGGTTGAAGCTATTTCTGCTGATGCTGTCTGAATCAGAATAAGTGCATATAAAAATCAATTCTCTGCCAAAACTGGCAGAGTGGGAGCAAAAACTGGAGGAGCATGGTCACTTTAGGCTGCAGGGTAACCATGAGTTTATTCATTCAAAGACAATGACTGGGATGAGCTACAATTTTACTGCAAACATAGTGTTGATCATCAGTTTAGATTGAGAATTAATTATTAATTCATAAGTAGTGTAAGAGAATGCTGTAGTAATGCTTCATTTTAAAACAGTGATGAAAGATGTAAGGTTATGTTTATTGCTCCCTTTTTGGTGATAGAAAAGTCATGAAGTTTACTTATCAGACTGACAATTTGTCAACAGCTAAAACTTCAGTGATTGTTGCACAAAAGATGCCTTCATTGGAACTGTCTAGTGCTTTTGCTAGCTTGCAGTGTTTGTGGACCCAGTTAACACAGGGTGGGACAGAGACAAAACTGCTTAGACAGCTAAACATTCTCTAAGAGTTTAAATGGCTCAATGTTTGTAGCAGTATTAGGTATATCAGGAGTGTTTGCAGATTATGATCATGAAATGAGAGTACCATTGGTAAACAAAATGCAGGTGACAGACCTTTAGACAGATCTTCAGAATTTAATAGGTGGAAATATATCTTCATTGTAGGGATAAAAATCCTACCAAATATATCAATACAGCCACAGAAAAGAAGAGAAAGCACTGATTGCTCTGTTAAAGTAGAATAAAATAATTTGTGTATGTTAACTGCAGGTCAGTTTTGGTTTATATCTGGAAGTCAGATCTACTGATTTTCTTTTGAATGGAAAAGTATACATTCTTCCAGGGTACATTCTTCCATTTTTACTACAGGGCACTTTGGTCTTGTAAGAAACAAATGCATTTAATTTGTTCTATTTGTTGACAGCCATGATTTTTTTATTAACAGGTATGGGTTGCAGACAGAGGCAACAAGAGAATCCAAGTGTTTGATAAAGTCACAGGAGAATGGCTTGGGTCTTGGAGTGGCTGTTTTTCAGAAGATGGACCCTACTCTGTCAGGTATTGTTGAACAGTTCTACAAGCATGCAGTTACATAAATAAGGTGTACTCTTACCGATGAATTAAAATGTTGATATTTAATGCCTGCTGACAAGGAGTTAACTAGTGTAATAACATGCTGGGTATCCTAACATAAGCAAAGATCTGCACAGCTGCATCTTGACAGGGAAATCCTGGCTGTGTAACAAGCCCTGTGGATTTGAATGCAGGATTCACTTTAAAGTTATGTTATTAACCTTACTGTTGCAGCTTTTACAGGAAGAAAGATTTTCTTGAATGAGTTTTCTGTAGCATAATGTGTCTTAATGATGAAGAGCGAGGCTTACAACTTAATGTCCAATGTTACATTTCATTTTGACAGTCATAGCCTTTGAAACTGTGACTGTTAAAGAGGTTTTGTTTGTGTTAAAATGAGATGTCATATGGAGTTCACAGTTCAAAAATATGTTTATCTTTCACAGGTTTACTGCTGATTACAAATACCTGATTGTAGCTCAGCTGAATATCAACCGGTTGGCAATCTTGGCAGCACCTCCAGTTGGCTCCATTGGGGATTGTGTCATGGTCCACAGTGTCCAGCTGGCTGATGAAACCAAACCACATCTTGTGGATGTAGACATGAGGCATGGAGCAATCTATGTTGCAGAGATTGGAGCCCAGCAAGTACAAAAATATGTACCCTTAAGCTGATGGTTTCCCACAACTGCCATGGCACAAGCTGTGTGACATTTACGACCTATGACCACATTTCCTTGAGATTTTTATAGCTTTTGTTCCCAGAACTCTAGAGCTAAGACTCTGTCCTAGCTGTTGTGGAGTTCTGGAGAAATACTTGGTCTTCAGCTGTTACTTGTTTAAGTAATGATGTGGTGGCTTTTACTTTTGTTGCAATTATAAAATAAGCATTTTAATTTTATTATATAAAACTTTACAAACACAACTGTTGATCTTAATATATGGGGTCAACTTGGGGCTCTACTTAGACTGTGTGTGTTGTTAAATGGTCAGAAATGTCTGAAAGAAGTTTTATAAATTATTTCCTGGGACAAGAGCACTTCATTTCAATGTTTCTTCACTTTGTTTTTTGAATGGTTGTGCTGATGCTGTCCAACAGAGAATATAAGGATGTGTCTCAGTGTTAAATTAGATGCTGCTGGATATTGGTGTCAGTACTGATACTGGCATCTGCCTTAGGGGGTTAATGACATAAGTATTGAAATCTGTTTTCAGATTCACAGATATAGCTCTAGCTAAAGCCATAAAGTCTGTAATAAGCTTGAGCTGAATTGATATTAGACACTTCAAACTAAATTAAAAGTATCTGCACAGCAGCCAAGTACTGATTCTTAACTAAATCAGTTCTTAACCTTAGTTGATTTATATCAGCGTGAGTTTTCTGTTCCATAAGATTTCAGAGTGGAACATATTGAGGTTTGAGCCACATAAGTTCCTCAAGAAAAATCTGCAGTTTGCTAGGAAAGTCTTAGTCAGCAGTAGGGACTGGGAGACATATGATTTTCTTCTGATTTAATTAAAGCTCTGTTAACAGCAGAAATTGTTAACAGCAAGGCATCTGTTTTAATTTATTTCCAGAACTCAGACTTCATCAACTCCATTAATGTGTAGAGTTAAGTTTCTTACACTATATTATAGCAGATGTCTCTAAGCTCTGTCCTAAAAAATCCTGCCTCTCCATTCCCAGAACAAAATGATTCTGCTTTCTTTACATGTTGCTACAAGATTTTAAGTTCACTTTAAAATACTGAACAGAGGGAACCAAGTATGGGAAAACTGGGATGGGGAAGATGACAAGGCAGGAATGAGACCATGGCTAACTGATTACCATGGTAAAACTGTGGATCCACATTCCATATTTTCTATCTCTTTAAAACATTTGAGAGGATTTTTGCTGTTTCCACACACTTACTCTACTGTGTGGATCATTCCAATGCTAATTACCAGCTAAGAGAGGTACTTTTTTCTACTTTCTTAAAAAGGGAGTATGGAAAATGGAATTGTAGTGATGGGAAATACCTGCTTCAGTAAACATTATCAAAAGCAAATGCTACTTAATTTTGTAGGTTTCAACCTATGATCACAAATTTGTGAGTCAGCAGATGGAAAAGCTATTGAGAAAAGTTAGATTTGTATTTTCTCTGGAAAGTAACTCAGCTGTGGAGCCTGACTGCCTGATTTCAGCACTATTTGAGATTATTGCACTAAATGTGAATGCTTTGTTGTTGGCTACATCCACAACAATAAGACCAGATCCCACCTGGGGCTGCCCTCACTCAAGCCTTAGAAGCAGAACTTCAAGGTTATACACTAGCAAATATGGTCCATCACTCATGTGGTCTTGAATGGGAGCTAGTAAGCAACATTTATTTGCTGAAAAAGTAGCAGCACTTCCTCTAGACCTATGTGGATATGTTCACACAGTGTGTTGTGTGACTTTTCTAACTAGTTTTTTACTAGCTCAGGGATCTCTGCTCTGTGTGCAATTTAGCTATTTCTTGTCTACATAAGGTGGGTTTATTTTATAAAATTTAACTGTAAAATCGTTATATTTGACCATATCTTGGTGGTGTAGGGGGTCCAGGCATACCCATCTTGCTTCACTACATCCTCTCCTTATTTATTTTTAATTTGTCACATCCATTTGAAAATAGAACTCCAAGCTTTCTGGGAACATGTTTTTGTGTTCAGTAAGGCAATATAGTGCACTTTTGGATGTTGACAAATAACTTGCTTGTACAAGTTTCTGTTTGCTGCATGCATCTGCTCTCAGCTCTTTTTTTATGAGCCTTTGCAGCCCCAAGAATTGGAGAGCACCCATCCAGTTTTGTGTGGCTTTACTGAGATAGGCCAAGGTGCCAAAATGTGCCTTGCCACATTTGAGCATCTGTGATAACAAGGGACAAGGGATGCTTATTATTGATAATTATCAGATGCTTAGACTCTGTTTTGTCTCTGTGTCTATGACCAGACTGAGAAAATGATTTTGTGCACTAACTTGCTAATTCTCTGAATGTTTTCTTATATATCACCTTGAAAACGATTTCTGAAGAAATGAATAGTATGAGAATTTGATAAAATAAATTGAGAATTTCCCATTATTAAAGTATTGGGTGTTTTATTTCTGTATGAATATAAATACATTCCATTGTAATGGATTGCTTCTCTAAATACAGGGACCTCAGCACTTAAATAAGGTATGTAATAATTTCTGATGCTAACATTTAAATATAATGTAAAATTCCATGTTATCTTTATACATCCCTATTTCTGTGGCAAATCTCTTTTTGCATTCTAATTTATGTATCAACACAGAAACATAAATCTCTCATACATTTCCCTCTGAGTAATTAGTAGAATGGAATGATGAGTTATGTAAGTGCCAAGTATGAAAAAAAAAACATTTAAAGTGTATACCCCTATGATGGTAATAGGGAAATTAAAAAGAAACTAACAAAACACTTCTTATACCAAATCAGGTTTTCTTTTCAGAAAAGATTTGCTGAGCAGTCTGTCTAGGTTTTAGAAGCCCAAGAAGGGTTCTGTATGGATTAAAAACATTTGCACAAGAAAAAAATAACACACTTTTATCAGTGTTAACTAGATAACAGAGAAACCTAAGAACCTAAGGTGATTGCTAGAACTGTCCAGAAATCTAACTTTGGGTAATAAGTGGAATATTCAACTAATGGAAATAGAAATACTCTGTATTTTGTTGCCCCAAATCCTGCAGGCCTTTTTTATTTATTTTTTTTTTTTTATCCTTTTTTTTTGAGTAACTACCTAGGTTGTTAACTGGATGATGTTTCCAGGAGGTAAGACCAGATCACATAGCCCTTTCTCTTCACAGAATTATGGAATGGTTTGGGTTGGAAAAGACCTTCAAGATCATCTGGTTCTACTCCCTCTGTCATGGGCAGGAAACTTTGCACTAGATCAGGTTGCTCAAATCATCTAACCACACCTTGAGCACTTCCAGGGTTGGGGCATCCACAACTTCATTGGGAAACCTCTCCCAGTGCCTCATTACTCATAATGGTTTTTTTCATGCCTCTTTTTGTATGTGTGTTCTCATAGTCAGAAATTTATTAACAGTATTTGGCCAAACAAGAAAAAGCCTGAGTCTGGTTTGTGCTATGCAAGATCAGGTTAGTGAGGCTGAACCACCTCAATAAAACCTGAAGGGAAGAGGACAAAAGTATGTTCTTGGGTTTATTCATTGCTGGAAGTTCATTGCCACTCTGGGCAAGTTTGCTGCCTTACAGTGGTTGTTAACCTTTTTTGAAGCATTAAGTAGTCACTTATCACAGTTAGCACTTACTTTCTTAACAATTTGTATCCCCAGAAGTCTTCTCAAGTGGACTATGAGCCAGAAGTGTTTGCAATCCCTCAAATTGCCTGTACCCAACATAAGAGGGCACCAAACCCCTGCTGTTGCTTGAGAGACTCGGTGTGTTAGGACAGGCCTAACAGCTGCTGCTTCCTGAACGTCTTCAGTGGGTCAACAAAGATGATTAATTGCTCCAGACTTCCTCTCTCTTTTCAAAATAGACTGCTTTAAGCATAAGCTGATCACAGAATCATAATAATTTCGACTCATTATTACTGGATTTATGTCCATCTTTTATTTCCATGGTTTTCCTAGGGAAAAAAAATCAGTAATTCAGTGTCCAGAGACAACTGGATATCGTCAATTGATTCTTGTAGTCCTAACATCCTTGGTTTCAATGGAATTAATGCTGATATGTTGCTTTGGAATTATCATAATAGTTTATAATAGTATAACTGTAGCAGCATAATTATACCAAGAGAACGATGCCAGTGTATTTCCCTACAGAGGTGACCCCGAGTGAGATTAGAGCTAAGCTTACTTAATCTCATTCACCAATTTTATTCTACCCTTCCTTTCTCAGCCTTTGTTTGAAAAAAACTTGCTTTGATTTTGTATTTCTATTTTATTCTATTCCTTTGGGAGATTGCATCTGCAAAAATTGTATTTTCCATTAGTTGCCATAATAAAGTTAAAACACAGACTTTTATTCAGGTATATGATTCAATATATTTGAATCATTCCGTCTTTCAGTGTTCATAAAACATCAGTCTTACATGAAATTTTAAAGTAGTATATTAATTTATGCACACAGGATGATTTATTACATCATTAAAGCCAAAATTACACTGATACAAAGGAGATATTGAATAGATACTCTTTATCACAGTATCACATTTCTCAAGTCAGAGGAAACCACATGTAATTGTGTAACTGGATCTGCAAAACAGAGATGAAAAATACTGCCCAGTTACAACAGGAATAAGCCTGGTAATTCAGTCTCAGCTGTGGTGCGATCTAATTAAGACCTGAGAAATCTCTTGAATAGCTAGAGTCTGTATACTTAAATTCTTCCTAGTCGTCAATAAACATTAAGAAGGGTGGCTTTATATTTAGACTGGATTAATTTGTCTTCAATACCCTGTGTTCTGTTTCCAGGTATCTTAGAGATTTAATATAGCAATTTTTTTTTTCTTATCACCCATGGAGTCATTTACAGATGATGACTGAGTCATCTCTTGCTCTGCTCCTTATCTAAACTGTATAGATTGGAAAACTTGATTTGCAATGGAAAACTGATAAGACTTTAATTTCAAAATGTTTTCGTAGCACTTTTTAATAAAAACAAACAAATGCAGAACAATGTTTACTGTGCAACAGGAAGTCTGGATATTAGATTGCCAACACTAAATATATCTGTGTACTCTACAGGAGTAGTACTATTTCCCCTTTTGATTTGATGAGACTGAATTTACTCCTGCTCCTAGCTCTCAGTACAGTACTGTCTCTGACAGTTGTCGGATAATTTGGGTGACTACAATGTCAAGGTGTAAAGGTGGAAGAATAGACCAGAACAGACACCAAGTATTTATCAGTGTTTGCTGTTGAAGTGCTTAGCAAAATTTTCATGCTGTTAACATTTTCTGACAGGGTCTTAATCAGAATATCTGGCTGAATTTAAGTGTCAGTAAATGGCTTATTGAAACAATCTGGTAAGTTACTAGCAGGTGGTCAGTTCATTAAGGTCATTAAGTATTTTCAGGAGATTTCTGAAATAGTAATTTGTGCTGGAACTGCATTAGAATCACAGGAGAGAAAGAAAATGGCAAATATGGTTCAAAGAAAGAAAAAAATCCACCGCACCTGTGTGTGAGATTTCTGTAGAGGTTCCAAATACTGATGACACTACCTTGCCAATTGACATAAAACATAATGAAAGAGTATTGTATTGGATCTACAACCATTAAATCTGTTACAGGTTGTTGGAGGAATCTCTGAGCATGTATGTCAGGATGATCTGGCTAATAAAGTTTGCTTAAATCTTAAAAGGGCTTTTAGCAACATCTCATGCCAAGTGTCCAACAGAGTGAAATGAAAAAGAAGGGCTGATTATGGAAGACTAATTAGAATATTATAAGTTAAAAATTAGTTCTGTCCTGGTTAAAGTATTGATAAATATTCTAGAAATGAATTTGGGAAGTAAGGGACAGAATTTACTGACAATACTAAACTACTCAAGCTTGAGTGTAAAGACAAAAGCTGCAAAGAGTTGCAGAAGGGTATCATGAAGTTGAATGAATGGGCAATAAAATAGCAAAATAAATATAATATCTATAAATATAAAATCAGATAAAATTAGCAAAATTCAGTATTATACGCTGTGATAGCTTTAATATATACTACCATTCAGAAAATTATTCTAACTCATAAAAGATGATTCTATGAACATATCAGCTTCCAAACTCAGCAGCAGCCAGGAAACAAAGAGAATAATGGGTGGTACTAGGAAAGTACCAGCTGATTAAACAGAAGGCTTTGCAATGCAGTTATGTGAATTCCTAGTGCATGCTCATTTGGAACTGTACGGGCAATTCTCCCTCTTCTTCCCACTTCTAATCTCTAAAGGAAATAGTAGAGCAGGGGAGGAAAAGTCTGTTAAGAATCCTTGGCTGTGAGCACCTACTGGGTAGATGTAGGGTGGGTGTTAGAGTATCAACAGCATTTCATCATGAAAGGCCTCTGCAGGAACATGCTTTTCCCATATAGCTGCTGCTGCAAACTGGTTCGGCTTCAGGACTCAGTGAGGATGTACAGATATGCCACGTGGGGTGAAGAATACAGATGGGCAGAGACATGTGGTGTCTATTATGCAGGAGAGGTTAGATAAGACTTTGCAAATATCTAAGCTTTTAGTGGTGAAGGCACTTTATGAATAGGACATACAGTCATAAAGTCAGTTACTTTGTCTTACTGAAAATCAAAAGTTTCAGCAAAGGGATCAGAGTCGCCCTCATTCCAGTCTGATCACCTTTGATGTTCCTCCTAAGGGTCATGCTCTGGCTGCCTGTGCCACCTGTCCACTGTCCCAAAGATGAAAAGCACTTTACTCTCTGCATCAGGTACTAAAATATAAAAAAAAAATCAAATTTTTTGGAAACACATCATCTCCCATGGCCTAACACAAACACAAGGCAGCACAAACTAATTTGTGTTCAAAGACTGGAGCCCTTGAAAAATGTTGGAATTCAAATGAAGGTGCTTTTTAAATGTTTTAATGATTTCCAGCCAAGACTCAATGCTAATGGTTGTGCTGGTTTATCTCATGGGCATTGGTGTAGCTGGAACAAGAGGCAGAAGATGACTCTCGGCTCCCAAAGGAGAACTCCCACTGCAGTTCATGGCAGTGGGTGACTGTTCTGCAAGCAAATACCCATAATTGTCTCTACAGAGATGCTATAAAAGAGAAAGGGATCATACTAGAGGCATATGCTTCAACATGTGTATAAATCTTACAGTGGAAAAAAGTCTTTTGTCAATAAAGGAGGAGACCTGGATGTCAAGGGGAAGGAGAGGGGAGGGATTCTACCTGGCAGAGTCCACACTAGCACTGTAATAAGGCTTGCCCCATCTTACTTAATGGCCAGTCAAATTTCAAAGATTTTAGTAATGAAAACTAGCAAATTGTTATAAAAGCAGGAGATTTTATATAACTAAGGAGTGCCATGATTTGCCTCCAAGCTGTTGCCTTAATAGGGCTTTGTGATGGATGATGCTACCAG